ATGTATACGTTGCACTACCAAAAACGCGACCGTTTGCTTGCACACAACTGCCTCTTCGCCAGACGCTTCCTCTTCACGCGGCAGTTTCACGATCCCAGTGTTGCAAGCTACGACGTAGGCTTTCGGTGCTTTCAGTTACTGCAAAGCAGCCACGCAATAGACTAGGCTGCATGCCGCGTGCGACTATGGCCATCGTGCCCACCTGCGCAACGCGCTGGCGCACCTCGTTTGCTTTCGCAAACTGCCGCTTCGCCAAACGCTTCCTCTTCCGCGGCCGTTTCAAGCGCCCAGTCTTGCAAGCTACGTTGTTTGCTTTCATATCTTTTCATATCTTATTCGCCTCAGGCTAAGCAGCCAGCCAAAAGTCCGAGATGCATGCCGCTTGTGACTGCGGCCAACATGCCTTGATGAGCGGCCTTTCGCCGAAAACATTACATACACTTTTACAGGCGCATTTTGAGAATCGCACGCGCGCATCTGCGCGGTAAAATTCGCTCCTGACTTTTGGGGCGAGATGTACGAACTCTTTATTCGGCACAGTACGACCGGACACATTTGTGCGAGGGGCTGCTTAAATACATACATAGTTCTATATCTTCTACTAAAATTTTCCTGCAGCGTTTGAGGCCAATAATTAATATTGGCGAACGATGCTTCCCGAGCTACCGGGATACTGTAGGTTCAACATGTACATATAACATGTACATTTACAAAAATGTACTAAGAGGAAGTCACGAAGTGCGCAGCAAATAAGATGAGTAGCCTATAGGCCTGTAGGTTCATGTCTATAGTCCATGGCAACGGAGGGGTTTACCCTTGGGCCGTGTTACCCCTCCTGCTGGGTAGGAACTTACAAGGGGGTTACCAAAGGGCTACCGGGGGTTGAAGGTGGGTTATCCATTGGTAACCCATGGGTTACCGACCCAATCAGTGCCTTAGGGCCAATGGTTCACCCCCAGCATAGGTGGTCAGCTGCACAGTCGGGCACCAATATTTCACGTTAGATACGCCAAAGTGCAATGACAAACAGCCCGACAAGCTTATGACAAGCCAGGCGTTCCGATTGGAATGCTTTTGCGTCGACTTGGACAACTGCGCAAGATTTGCTCCTATGTACTACAACATTTTGTCCCATGCGCAGAGTTGCATGGAGTTGCGCCACAACGAAACAATGAAGACTGCAATTTTTGGGCGGGGCCCCAGCGCGAAGCGCCCAGGTGGGCCCCGACCTGTAGGATTGCCCATGTCCGTGTGTGTGTGTGTGCGTGTGTAATACTGGATTCACATGCTACGTTACGTTGCGAAAACTTTTAGGTAAAAGTGGCCCTGAGAAAGTCACCCAGTTCACACGGGACATTACGACGACGTTGTATTCGTTGGCGCGAGCTGTGTAAAACCATCTCCATTTTATGTCTTTCAATGGCCAAAACTTCAGAACATCCCCTTAGAATTGCAATATATATTTGAAGGGTGATTGGCAGCCCTGCCTACTGCAATGGCACTGCATCCCGCGCGAGCCGCGATGGCGTTTGCCCTAGCGGTCGCGCTGGATGAAATTTTTGATAATCTTGAAGATATGTTCAATGCTCAGTGGCAGAGATTGAGCGTGTGGGCCGACGCGGCGCGGCCCATGCCGCCGGAAGTGCGGCCGACTTGCCGTTTCGCGGGTGGCTTCAGCCCTGATACTACAATGGGTTACATATTGGCTATGTAAGCGGTCGTGAGCGGTCGAGCAACACGAGCGGCGTTGTCCTTGTTCATTTTTATAATATAAGGCAGCGGTGTGACTAGAAATTCAGTCGGAGTGCAAAGCGCGCACAATTTGTCAAGTATGTGGTCTTTATAAGCGATTGGGCTTGGCCGTTTGTTATAACTCGCGAAATTGGCGACGCATTTCAAGTAACGGTACGAGGGGTCAGCGTTTGACGAAATTGAACCCCCCCCCCCCTGGTCACTTTAGACTTTTCGTCCACTTTACCGGTAACGTACCGTTACCACGTCCGAACCGACCACTTTTTCCAAAAAGTTTCAACGTAACGTAGCATGTGAACTGGCTATAACGGACCAAACATAATATCTCGCCCGGCTGAAACGCGTTGTAGGTACTATATATCATTCTCTATCGCAAGGTATCTCGCCTGTAGCCAACAAAAATCGTATGAGCACAAACAACTTTGGCTGCCTCAGTTGACCGAGGCCAAAGTCACATCAACGCCTCTCGGGCTAAATTTAATCTCAAACGGTACCGCGTATCTCATATTTGAATTTTTAGATGACGGCGTATGATAACTCGAACTCCCAGGCCTTGAGTGTGTAACGGACCAAACATAATATTTCACCCGGCTGAAACGCGTTATCGGTACTATATAGCATTCTCTATTGCAAGGTATCTCGCATGTAGCTAACAAAGATCGTATGAGCACAAACAACTTTGGCTGCCTCCATTGACCGAGCTCATAGTCACATCAACGCCTCTCGGGCTAAATTTCATCTCAAAAAGGTGCCGTGTATCTCATCATTGCTTTCCGAGATGACAGCGTATGATAACTTGAACACCCAGCTTGTGTTACCATTTGCCCGCACGGGCATTCCGACTTGCCACCAGCAGGCCGACAAATTTGCTTACATTTCTCTATGAAATACGCAAGCTGCTCATTTGTATTTGCTTTAGCCAATGCTCGGGGCCTCCGGAGACTTGCGGTGTGCCCCGATGAAGCCCGCGGCTGTGGGGCGGATTGCTGAGGCCGCTGGCGCTTCGGGGATAAACATCACAGACAGCACCGAAATTCACCCAGCTTTCGTTACCATTTGCCCGCACGGGCATTCCGACTTGCGGTCTGCCGCACTGTCCATGCTGCATGCACCCAGGATGGATGCGATTCGCGTCGAGCCCGCAGGCGGTGCTGACGATTCCGCCGGTGCAAGCTTAGCTCTCACACCATCAGCACTGCTCCAACAAAGCACATCTCCCACCGCGTTGACACTACCCATCAATTGTCACACGTGCCGCGCTAGCTACCGGCCTGTACGGATGCAGGGGGGGCCCGCCCTTTTTCCGGCTTCGAGGAAGCCGACACCCGACTTGTTTCTCAGGATTGTGCATAATGGCTTCGGGATGCGGTACGGCATGATGTGGCCGGCCGTCTTCCCGGGCAGCATGTGAATACACCGCTAGTAGGGTCCAGGCCACTTCCTCTTATGATGAGGCGACGGATGGACTGGCAGAGGGCAATGCATGGCGATGAAATGTGATTCTCAACTTGCTTTTGGTGTATGGAAAGGTCACAGCCTCCAAGGGCTATTTTTTGCGAGATGTGTGTGGGAGTATCAGGCGGCCGTGGTGCTATTGAAGGCAGGTACAGGCTACAGCTGGTTCAATGATGTCCTGAACTGGCCAGTGTGCTTTCTTTGGGAGCGCCTTTCGTTTGTCCGGCAGGTGGGCACCAGTGATGAGCTTTAATGGGGAGCCCGTGTGGATTCTGCACACGGAAGTGTCATTGCCTATATGGGCCCTGCCGTTTAAAGGTTCGTCACCTTGTTTGGTCGCGTTGGGAGTGTGCCAGGCATGAATTCGTGGGCACTGTTCCCCCCCACGGTAGGGGGTGAGGGTTTGTTGTGTTGTTTGCAATGAGTGCCAGCCATTTGGTGTGAAGCAAAAATGCATGGACGACTCTGATGTTAGACTCCCCAGCCTAGATTCGGTGCTGCCAACTCATAGAACTTCCTTGTGTTTATGTTTGGTTTGCTATGGGACGTGACTTATAAGCAGAGGTCAAACAATTGAATGCATGACGGCCTGGTGAGATGGCTGATGTTGGTGCATGCACTGATGATGGCCATGCCTTTGGCAGACAGCAGTGGTGCAGCCTGCAGGGGCCGCTTTTGGTGAGATGTGCTCATGTGTGTCAAGTGGGTAATGTGAGGCCCGTTGTGGTGCTGGTGAACATGGGCATGGGCTATACCTGGACAGCTGATTATGGTGCTGTTGGGCAGGGATGCCTGGCTTTGTGAAGATATCTCTCGGTGTTTGGTTTACCATATTGCTGACCCATGAGCTAAAGTGTATGAGCAAAATCGACCACGACAACGTGCATTTTTGGTATTGGCTTCGACCACCACTTTCACCAGACGCTGTAAGATGCACCACAAGTGACAGCACACCATGTAAGCAACTATGGACAACTAAACCATCCATCCTTGGTCTGTTGCAGTCCTGTCAGTATTCCCAGTTCTGCACCTGCAGCCTCATTTTACAGCAGAACACCCAATCCTAATCCTCCAACTGTGTTCCCAATCCTATGGCAGCGAGCTCATCCTAAACTTGCGAAAGCCTGCAATCCCCATCCTGTCGACCAGGGTCCCATCCCCATCCTCCCAATCCCCTCCTTGGTCAAGGTTGCAATCCCCATCCCTCAGAGAGGGATCCCGTCCCCATCCTCACCCCGACAGCAATCCCCATCCCAAAAGTAGTGTAGCACGCCTAATCCCTAATCCTCGCCTTGGGCCCCACATCCCATCCTGACGTCGTCACCCCTATTCCCCATCCCGCCTGACCAGTACCTGCCCCCAATCCCCCATCTCTGCAACCCTCTGGCCGCATCATGAGAAGGTAAACTGTTCAGTCAATAATGATTATGCTATGGCGGCTGCACGCTTGCGACGATCCAGGCAGGTCTACGCCGCCATAGCAAGCCTGTCGACCTTTATTGTTTGAGAATTTCAATAACAAGTGTGTACTCCAAACGTGGCGGCGTTCTTGTGCTTGCACTCCTATGCCGTATGGACTGCCCTGCGAATCAAACGGGGGTCAAGTGGCTGCACCGAGGCCGAGCCCCTTTTCGGCTTTGAAAAGCCGCCCCCCTAGCCTCAGAGCATCTAGCATGGGGCTGCCAATCCCCCTCTCCTGCAACCGAAGCCACATATGCTCGCGATGCACCCTATCAAAGGCCTTTCCAAAGTCAATCTGTACTATTATCAACGGTGGGTGCCCCGTGATCCGATGCCGCCTGACCAGGTGTTGCTTGACAAAGAGGTGATCAGCGGTGCCAAAACCCCACCTGAAACCCGCTTGGCATGGGTGCCGCAGGTCCAGTGTTTCCCCAGCACATACCAGACGGTTAAGAATAACTGACGCATAGCACTTCACAAGTGCTCCTCCAACTGCAATGCCCCATAATTTCCTGCCACCAACGGGTCACCCTTCTTCAAAATTGGGGATACCACCGTCTTGGTAAACTGCTCTGGAAAATCACCAGTTGCCCTGATGTGCTCTAACAAAACGTGCAGCACTGGGACGATACAGTTCACCTCCGTTCCCTGCCTGCCCTGCTCATCCACCCGTGGGAAGCATGCATAACGGTAACATTCCGATGGCACGGCCTCGAGCCCATGAGCCTTTCCGTTTGGTAAACTACCGACAGCACGCGCTACCTCCTCCAAGGTGAAAGGCTCATCCAGGGTGCTAGCTGCCCGTGCCCTCCTGTCCATGACAGTCCGACATGGCTTGCCAAGCACCCTCTCCCAATGGGGGCCCCCAAAAAATTAGATATAGTCAAGGAGCCGATGTGCACCTGCAACACCCGTCTCCCCAACTCCTGCGTTTAACAAGGTGGCAAAGTGATCCCAAAATACATGCAAGTCGTCAATTGCACAACGTTCCCTGAGTTGCCCTCCCAAGGCCCGCCATAATGCGTGCTGATCGTGCCTGCACCTAACCACAAACTCATGCTTCTCTCTGCATCACAACTGCTTGGGCACAGCGTTTGGCACGATTCATTGCGTTACGTGCCTTGCAGAACGCTTCCCAGAAAGGACCTGGCTTATTCTCGACCCTGCCAGGGCCAAGCCGCACCCTGCAAGCAAGCATGTGTTGCCGGGCGCTTTGGCATTCCTCATTCCACCATAATACACCATCCGCAGCTTGCATACCCTCAGGCCTGCGACCCACAAATACTTGAATCATCACCATACGCATTCTGAAGCTATGCAACCTTCTGCTCCAGCGTCTTGCAATGGGTGGACTGGGTGGACATTCAAATTGTATCGGGTTTAAGCTCCCGTAATATCGTTGAGGTTGAGTGCAAGGAAGCTGGAAAAACATCCGGCATGTTTAATATTCTCCTTCCAACACGTTCAAGCTGCATATTAAGCACCAACTTGCCCTAACCAGAACCTTGTCAGAGCAATTTCCAAAAGCGCGTAACGATTGGTGGTTAAAGTGAGGATCCTGTCGTAAGAGGTGTACGGTGCCTCACTTTGCGAGGGGGAGGGGAGTGGCTCGGAATGAAAAGTTCGGCGTACAAGCATACGCAAAGCACTAACCTTGCTGACTTTATGTCTGAAGGCAGGGTAAATGGTTATGGGCCCCTGCCTGCTACTTCCGTATTATTTTTAATAGTTTGCTTTGCGTCGCACGAGCATAGGCTGTTTTTTTGCATTTATTATACAACGACTCGTTGGACGTGTTTCATTAAACCACGTTTAGTGCAAGATGAATTTCGTCTTTAAGAACCTGCTTGGTGCACCGTATCGGGGAGGGACCCTAGTAATTCACAATAATGAATTATTCATACCTGTCGGAAACCGAGTAGGCCAGGTTCGTTCTTCTACCAAAGCGAACAGTGCCGCCTGGCGGCCGACAATCCCATGCCGGCAGGGGCTCTTCCCCCAACCTTATAAATGACGGGGACAAACTTTAAATCACAGGTCAGCCTGACGGAATCCACCACCCATTGCTTCCCCTTCGAGAACCTGACGCAGGTGCGAAGCCCAACCGGCACTTTCCCCTTGTAAAAACAGTGAATCCAGCAGGTTAGAATGCTGCTTCGAGCATACCCATTAATTTCATTAACCATCGCAGATTCGGGTAATCTGTCTTAGTCCTGTTGGAGGGCTGCTTCTGTCCGTTGACAAGGATGGCCGCGCTCTGCTAATCAACTGGAAGCGGAAGGTCCTTCTGCACCACTTCTCCTTCAAGGGCCCGGTGGCCTGTGCCAAGTTCAGCCCTGACGGCAGTTACCTTGCGGTTGGAGTGGGCCGGCTGGTGCAGGTGCGTGCCGCCGCTGCTGATGGTGCTGCTGGGTTGATGGGTTGGTGACAATGTTCCCCTCTCCTTTTCTTCCCGCCCGGCCCTAGGTGTGGCTGAGCCCCTCCCTGGACAAACAGATTAACCCCATGCAGCTGTACCGCACGTACGGCCAGTGCCATTCGGACGTACTGGATCTAGACTGGAGCCCGCCGTGCCAGGGCTCCCCCGCCTCGGGGCCGCCACTGTACTTCATTGCAGCTGGGTGTCGCGATGGCACGCTGCGTGTGTTTTCTCTGGATCCAATCCCCGGCTACGATCCCCCGTGTCTGGGGGGCCACAAGGACGGAGTGCTGGGTGTCATGTTCGCCAGCGAGGAGATGCGGTCTAGAAGCGGGGTGAGTGGGGGAGGAGGAGGGGGCCTTGGGGGTTGTTAGAGGAAAGCAGTTGGGGTTCACTGCAGGAGAGCTGTAGCACGACATACATTCATACATATATACATACTGGGGGAAAATGGTAGATGACCCTCCGTTCCTATCTCCCTATCTCCCCCTCCTTCAGGATGTGGTTTCGGAGTCCCCGCAGTCCTCCCGCCTCCCGCTCCCCCCTGGCGGCCCCCTGATGTACTCCGTGTCGGCGGATGGAGCGCTGCATTGCTGGACGTACGGGGCCCCCGAAACCGCCGCCGCCGCCGGCAACCCATTTGGGAACTTGGAACATCACGTGGCGGCGAGGCGAAGGGCGGCGGTGCTGCAGAGGCGGCAGGGGGAACAGTCCGTGGAGCTGTCTGGAGGACAACAGCGGCAGGAGGGGGAGGAGAGGGGAGAGGAAGAGGAGGAGGGGGAGCGGGAGAGGAAGCGGAGGCGGCAAGGCGGTGGGACGGGGAAGCCGCCAGTGCCAGAACGAGGAGGAGGGCTGGCAGGCAGTTTCCCACTTGTTGCAGGTGGGGAAGGGCAGGGGGTGGCGGTGTGAGGGGGCCCGGTAAGCGCCCCAACAGTCTACCAAAAGATGCACCGGTTTGATGATCACTCCACTTGGTTTGTGCTTTGAACTTGTACGGCAGTCCTCTTTCCCTACCTTCCCCGTTACCCTGGACTCATACGGCAACTGTTTTTTCTTGGCATCATCATACGAATCCCGGGCCCCTGCGACAATTTTATGTTCCTCAGTCCCCTCCCGTTAAACATATCCCATCTGCTTTCAAGTTTACTAACCAGTACTTGGATGACCTTTTGCCCCTTGGCAATCGACACCTCACGCCACTTCTGTTCTATTATCCCAGCTCGGTTGGTGCCCATGCCTTGCCCGCTCTTGAATCAGATATCCCCGAGCAGAAGTATTCTAATGGCAGGACCCCTTTTTTAAATATCTCCTTGCGCATTCTGTCCATAATAGCTGTAGTTGGTATGACACCCACTTGTTTGACATGTTACAGCAACCTGCCTTCCATCACGTGCGCCTCTCTCGTTTTATGCATTCTTCGTCTTGTGTCAATGAGGCCGCCAAGCGCGATATTTTTATTAGTCAATTCCGTTAGCACTAGCCAATTCATTATTCCAGTTCCATTAGCCGTCTGCAACGCATCATTACTAATGTACTAATTTTGAGTCTGTTGATTGCCTTATGGCCCAGCTCATTGCTCAGGGCTAATCCCCGGCGTCGCCTTGAGCAATAATGCGCTCTTGGCTTTTCGTCTGGCCCCAACTTTTTAGTCCAACGCCGAAATGGCTACAATGTGCTTTTAGGAATTCGCAGTTCCTTAACTTCCCTCTTACATATAAGCAACTCCTAGTTTACTTTCCAATGGCCGTCGACTTGCCCGCTTACCCTCTTTCCTGCAACCCTAAGGCACTATGAGCCTGCATGCACATGCCCTGCGGGCTGGTGGGAGCCAGATGTGTCCCCGGCCCGCGCTCATTCCCTTTACCCGGTCTCGGCAAAGCTTCAATGTTTTGCATTTTTTTCTTTTCGTTCCTTCCCATGCATTCTCCTGTAACTTCTACATTGCTTACTTCTACGATGCTTGCCCTTCTTCGCTCCCGGAACCTTGTTCTTAATCCTTGTACGACCCTGTTTTCTATCATTCGGCTTTCCATTTAAGGCTTCTTCTTTTTGTCCTATACTCACCTTCCCTTCATAATAGTTTTCGATTCAGCAGTTCTTCCATTCAGCAGCACTTTGCATGCCTTCTCCTGTTCGGTTTCTTGCTGCTCACAAACCATTTTCCTTCCTTCCGCATGCCCTCTACCCGCTGCCCTTGCCGCTTGTGCCGCCTGGCCAGGTGAATCCTTGCGGTCCCAATCTTAGTCGTTTGTTTCATGCGACGCCTGCGACCTAGCTGGGTTGGGTTAGTCGGGCCAGGGGTGTTTTAGCTGGGAGGTTGGAAGGAACAATTGCATGTTAGCTAGCAGCGCAGCACAAAGTAATCAGCAAAGTTCTAATTCACTACTTTCGCTGCCACGTCGGTGCAGGCTGTCCGATTACATGATAATACACTTTCCGATACCCTTTCTTTGCCACTTTAGTTTTATACGGCTTCTGTTCTTCTTTTTCCTTCTTTTCAAAGACTTTCCTTTCATCTAGGCGGCTAGGTAGGTCATCTGCGTTTTTCGCCAGCCTTCTTTGGACTTCGGACTTGCCCGCTAGTCATGCGTCTCGCAACCCAAGCTGGCCACGTCGGCGCCAAAATTACGCAAGCCATCACTGGTCAGAAAAAATTCTCCTGCAGCATTTCTCTTCTTCTGGACTACCCATCTTTGGTGTCTGCTCCATTCGCCAGTGGTTCGTCTTACCCCCTTCCCCACCACCTGTTTAAACTTCCCCGCTGTGCTCATTGCAAGCCACTTTACCTGCTGGCTTGGTGCACGCTCCCCCTATCCATTGGATCAAGTCTCCTACGGTCCGCCAACTGCTCTGTAACTGCCATCACATGGCGTGCACCTTCCCAGCCTCGGATCTCACCTTTCTGCTCAACTCCCCTTGTTGCTGTTCCTCTGCTGACACCCTACTCTCCTGCTTACACACACAGATGGGCCATGTCATGTCCACATCACCCTACCAACTTCTACCTACCACCTTTCATTTCCTCTGGTCCGCTGATGCACGCTACCGTTGTCACCGCCCACCTTCCTCCACTGTCTGACCTCTTCACTGACACTTCTGCTAATATCCAAATACATGCCCAGCACCAGGAACGTCAGCGCGGCCTCCCTAACGGCACGTTTAATCCCTGGACCCTATGTCCCCTTACTCTCCTCCATCTCGACACCCACCCGTACCCTACCCATTTCACCTGGCTTGTCCTCAAAGACCATGACCTCACTGCCTTCTGTCACGCCATACGAGCTGTTTTGTCACTGTCACCAACAAAAGCGTCTCAACCCTCCAACTTGTTAAGTTTTTGGCGCAGTCCTGCTTACATGACCTACTCGATCACCCCCTTCATTACCAACCCATTCTCCCTCCTGCACGCGATGCCCCACCTTGGGGAACTTATCTCGCACCCTGGCACACCTTGGCCTCCGCTTCCACTCCTCTTGTGTTAATGGAACCGCAAAGCGCAATACCTTCATTAGCCAGCTCCGTGGATTACAGCACGTCATTTTGTCCAGTCTATCGCCAGCCTCACGGCACAGCTTATCGCTCAAGGTTACCCGTGGCGTCGCCTTGAGCTACAATGTGCTCTTCAGCCCTTCTTCTGGCTGCAACTGTTCTTACTGCAACACCGTAATGGGTCTGACATCCTTCCTCATATTTGCAACCTGCTCCCTACCCTTTTGCGCAACTCCTCTTCTTCACCCTTACCATAATATTCCTTCCCCACATCTTAGGTACTACGGGGCTGTATGCACATGCTCCTAGTGCGCGCAGGTTGGCGGGAGCCACATGTGGCCCCGGCCCACCCACATAGACTTCTCCTACAAACTGCCTCTCCTCCCATTGGCCTTTCTTATGCGGCCTTGCCACCCCAGTTCTCCATTTCCACCTTCTTTGCGGTCCTGCCCGTGTACTCGTCCATTGCATCATCACGTTGTCAATTCCGTCATGTAGTATGATGTGTCCTCGGTCGTCTTGCGCTGACTTTGCATTCCTGTTTTCTTTTTAATCCCTGCGTTTCTTCCGTTTTCACATAACTTCTTTAGGGCTTCCTTTTTCGCAGTCTTCCAGCATAATAGTCCCTTCCAGCGGCATTCGCATGCAATCTTTCCTTCACCGGCCGCTACTCACAGCCGTTCTTCCTTTCTGCCTCGCGTGTGCCCTTCTGCTGCCTGGCCGCCAGGTGGGTCCGAGGAGGTTCGAGCTTTGTCGGTGAATCGCGTTGCGTCGGTCGGCTAGCCGGACTAGGATGGTCGGGTCGATCGGGTCGGGCGCGTGTTGGGGGGTGGGAGGAGCACATGCATGTCACCAGCAGCTTATTACCAGTTTATCAGCCAGTATTGGTCCAACCTCGTCAATGCCGCAGCCAGGCCGGCTGCCTACTTGATTCCAGCTCACGTCATCCCTTTCTCTTCTCACGTCAGTTTTATTACTCTTTCGCCGCCTCTAAACCAACCCTTACTTCCTTACAGCTTCGTTCTACTGTTTTTCTTTCGCTCTTATTTTAGTCTTGGCGGCTAGGTAGGTACTTTTCCGCTATCGTCATCACTACATCATCGCGAGGGCTGCTTCTTCACAACTGTCGACTGGTCAGTTATGCTTTCTTTACATCTGCCGCAGCAGTCTTTCGTTGGCAGCAGCTTCATTCGTTCGTGGTTCGTCTGTCCCCCCTTCCCCTCTCCAAGGCGGCAAATGGTACCTCTCCGCGAAGCATTACGTGGCCGCCAGCGCGGCCGCCCGCGTCACCTGCTGCTCACTCCACCCGCCCAGCGGGACCCTGGCGCTGGGGTTCAGTACGGGGCTGTTCGAGGTGCACCAGCTGGTTCCGGAGCCCACCCGGCTGCACACCCTGTCCATAAGCCGGGAGAGGATCACCTCGCTGTCGTTCAACCACACGGGTGACTGGCTGGCGGGTGAGGGCTACGGGGGCTGGGTGAGGAGGGGGCGGAGCAACCGGTGGGCAGGCGGGGTTTGCATCGAAGTTTCGGCGGGTTATAGTCTCCCGCCAGTGTGTGACGTTGCTTCTTTACTCTTTGCATATAGTACCCCCGCTCTACCGCCTTTCCCCCCTTCCCCCCACACGCGCACACGCACATTCTGCCCTATGTGTGCGTGTGCGTATTTACGTACTTATGTATGTGTGTCTTTGTGCAGTTGGTTGCGCCCGCTTGGGTCAGTTGTTGGTTTGGGAGTGGCGCAGTGAGAGCTACGTGCTCAAGCAGCAGGCGCACCAGCAGGACCTCACCGCGGCGGCCTTCTCACCGGATGGGGCCATGATTGCTACGGGGGGGGAGGACTGCAAGGTAAGGGACCGGGGTGTGTGCGTGTGTCTTGGGGGGAGGAGTGCGAAAAGGAAAGGAATTAATTGCCGTACGAGTCGAAAGTTGCCAATTGCTTGAGTCGCCAAAGCCACCACGCAACTTCCTGGTGGCTTTACCGGCGTGTATGTGTTTGGGTCCGTCGTGTAACCCGTATAGGGTATAGTGTCCCGAAGAAGGGACGGCGGGAGAGGGTTCTGTCATTGGGTTTGAGTCCGGGTGCTGGTGGTGGCCCCTCTCCCAACTCTCCCTCACCACACAGGACGCCATCCTTTATTTATTATGCTAATATCTATCTAAATATGTAACGCCCCGCCGCACCAGGTCAAGGTGTTTCAGCAATCCACGGGATTTTGTTTCGTGACGTTTTCGGAGCACACCGCGCCGGTGACGGCGGTCACCTTCTTACCGTCGGGTGCCGTACTGCTTTCGGCCTCCCTGGACGGCTCTGTACGGGCGTGGGACCTGGTGCGATACCGCAACTTCCGTACATTGACGTCACCGACACCTGCGCAGTACGGCAGTCTGGCTGTGGATCCTGGCGGCGAGGTGGTGGTGGCGGGTGCAGTGGACACTTTTCAGGTCCGGTGTGTTTGTCGGTGGTGGCCGGGGTGGGGGTGGGGTGAGGGGGGATGAGGGGGGTCCGATCCTCGCTTTACTTTCCTCCGCCTCAACCTCGACTTGGATTTCCTACATTCCTCCCCCGCCCTCCCCGCCCTCCCTCCGTTCATTTCCTCTCACCCCATTCGCATCCTCCTATGATGCCTTCTTTCCCCCCTCTTTCTCCTCCCCGTCCTCCGTACGACAGATTTACGTGTGGTCTCTGAGGACGGGTCGTCTGCTGGACGTCCTATCAGGTCACGAGGGCCCTATCACCGGGCTGGCCTTCTCACCCGTAACCTCCCTACTAGCATCGGCGTCATGGGACCGTACTGTACGGATGTGGGATGTGTACGACAGCGGTGGTTCCGGATCCAGCGATGTCCTGGATCACCGTCACGACGTGTTGGCAATTGCCATGCGGGCGGATGGGCGGCAGCTGGCGGCGGCGACTGCGGACGGATCCATATACCTTTGGGACCCCGTGGAGGGGGAGCTGCAGGTATGTAGTACAATGTCATACACTGCAGTATACTATGGGTCTCACGACTCATGTGTTTTGAGGGGGTTTTCCGGCGGCGCTCGGGTCCTGTGACCTTATACTTTTTACCTCGCCAGGCGCACCACCCCCAACGCGGGTGGTGGTGGTGTGGTTGGCAGTTGGTACGGTTGCAACAATTTGCCCGCCCGCCCCCTCTATCACCTGCTTTTACCCCCCCCCCTCCACACACACACATACACGACCGTCGACACGAACAAAAAGGGCACCATTGAGGGACGTCGGGACATTCGGGGGCCCCGGCTGGCATCCGACCGCCGTACAGCCGCTAACTCCTCGGCGGGTGCGGCCTTCACCTCGCTGTCGTACTCGGCGGATGGCGCCTGGCTGTTGGCGGGAGGAAGGGCCAAGTACGTGCAGCAAGGGAGGGGGTTGGGACGGGGAGGAAGAGTGGACGGGGTTCTGTGTCTTTGGTTTTTGTGTACGTGTGTGTTGTGTATGTGGCTGGTTGTTTCCGAGTTGGGTGGGGCTCGTGAAGCCGCGAAGTGGTCGGGGGAATGACGAGGAGGGGAAGAGAAGAGGATGGCGCTGTACGGCACAACAAACACCCACACAAGGACGTCGGTGGCCTTTGATTCATGCATGCGAACACACATACGCACAGACATATTACATACATATGTACAGAAATACGTACAAACGAACCTGGCTGCAACCACCAAACCCCGGGCACCCGGCACACCACGAATCCTCCAACACACTACCGCAACCATCACCAGCCGAGCTTGACAGACTGCGCCTGTACCTTTTGTATATTTACGACATGTTGAACGGCAGATATATTTGTGTGTACGACGTGAAGGAGCGGCTATTGCTTCGCCGCATTCAGTTGTCCCACAACCGCTCTCTGGACGGCGTGTTGGACTGCCTCAACACCAAGGACATGACGGATGCGGGACCGCTACAACTCATAAACCGGGTGCGGTGCTGTGTGAGGGTTGTTAGTATGCGTGAATGGGCTGGGAGGGGGGTGCCCGGAAGGGACGGGGGTGGCCATGGGTGGGTGGGTGATAAGAGGGCCCCCGTAGCTGAATCAAGTGGGGAATGAGTCGGCTGTCTTCACCAGTTACACCCCCCCCGCCTTCAATTGGCCAACACGAGCATCCCTGCATTGTGTTTGTTTTTCGTGGATGATTCCCCTCCGGGCTCTTTTCCCCGAGTGAGCTGGGTCGGTATTGATCTTGTCGAAGACGGTGATGACGACTTCGCGTTGGTGTTCCCTGTGTACCTTCCTCCCCCTTTCAGGATGACCTGGACGAGGCCCTGGACCTGATGCCGCCCGCCACCGACCTGGCAGCAACGGCAGACCTGACAGGAACTGCCACCGGCAAGCGACCCGCACTTCGTTGCCGCTGCGTCGCGCTCTCCCCCACCGGCCGCGCCTGGGCCGCCGCCACAACGGAAGGCCTTATCCTGTACGGCACTGACGAGGGGCTGATATTTGACCCGACGGATCTTGAACAAGATGTGACGCCGGGTGCCGTACATTCATCACTCGCCGCAGGTGCGCACCTGCGCGCGCTGCTGATTGCATTGCGACTCGGCGACCAGGAGCTTGTACGGCACGTGTTGCTGATGACACCGCCGGGTGCCGTAAAGACAACGGTGGCAGGGCTTCCTGCCGTGTTTGTTCCTGCGATGCTGGGCACGCTGGCGGAGTGTGCGGCGCAGTGTCCTCACGTGGAGTTTGTACTGGCATGGATTCGTACATTGTGTACGGCACATGGGCCGTTGCTCAAGGCCGCCGCCGCCGGCAGTGTCGGCGGTGCAGCTCCTGCCGTCAGGGTGGCATCTGGCAGCGGCGGAGCCCCCGCAGCAGCGGCACTGATGGCCGTACTCCGTTCCTTACAGAAAGTCTTTGGGAGTTTGCACGGGGCCTTGTCGGCGGCAGCGGAGAGCAACATGTACTCCCTGGAGTATCTCACGACGATGTCGATGTCTTCAGCAGCCCCCACCGCCGCCATTAGAGAGACGGGTGATGATGGGGGTGATGTGTGGAGGGTTTGAGAAGGGGAGGAAGAGCCGGCGGAAGCTACATGGTTGGCCCGTTGGGGCGTTTGAGATGCTTGGGAGGTGGAGGAGGAGGTGGTAGAGGTGGAGGAGGAGGTGGAGGAGGAGGAAAAGTGTGACATGCAGAAGAAGGACACGGCTCCAGATACAGTGAATATGCTCAGGTGTGACATTGTGCCACCGGAAGGCTCCCGCGTTGATCCCGTCAATGAGCTTTTTTCTATCGGTCCATAGGGAAGTCCGTATAAGTCCTGGTGTGTGTGTGGTTGTTACAGTGGGCTCCAGACTCCCGAAGACTAGAGCCATCGGGCCAGCTGGCCTTGCACTGCAGTAGAGACTAATATACCAAAAGATTATCACCTCAGATAATTAACCTCTCATCGGTAACCGCTCTCGCGAACATAGCAATTTGCCAGATATAATTCTCAAGAAGGGGTGATGTGCGCCAACGGAATCCCAACCTTTTCGTGGAATTCCTAAAGCTGCGAAACCCTGAATGCGGCCCCAAAAGTCAACAATAACTCGACAAATTGCTTCTTCCGTAAGGGAAGGACCAGGTAACAGTGCCGGGTTGGTTTTCATGTTTGCAGCCATATAACGTCTCCCATGCTCCATGGCTGACACCGCAGCAAGAGCCACAACATCCCAAACACATTGTTGCACTGATTGTGGGGCTTGGATAAGCCAAAGTTGCTCCCTTGAGACTGGCAATCCTATTGAAAGAGTAAGTTGATCTGCTATTGCCTGTGCCACCGGACAGGCCCAGAAATGATGATAGCGAGGGGATACACCTCCCACTGAACCTATTGGATAACCTCCACAACCACATATCGTTGGGCGCGACATCCTAAGATGGGAATTTCCTAACATAGGCACTCCATCAACCGCGAGACGCCACCAAACCTCTTTTTGTTCATTTTCCCACCGTTAATGAAACCATAAACGATGGAATGTCCGTTGCAAAAGAAGAATAGCTTCATCCAATATCTCAGAAGAACCCGTCGCCTCTTTGATGAAAAGGGTATGGGCCACACGGCGAGCCATCGAAAAAGGTGCAAGTTGCATATTAGTCGCTATTTTAACGGATAAATGTTGGAATCGGATTGGAGGCCCTACATGTAACAAAGCTTGCAGTTGGCAAGCAGTTGCGAAAAAGGAAATTATCCAACGATAAAGGTGGTATTGATAAATACCGTTTGGTATTGGAAGATTATGAATAGTTCTTGGATGTACCGTTGGTACGATACCGTTGGCCCGGTGAGCCAAGGGCCGCCTTAGCGGCGTTACATTCCCCCCCTCTTGAATGCGAACCCGTCCTCGGGGCGCCTTGAGTGAGGTGGATAATTAGGGTAGCGGTACGCCTTTTGCGTACAGTTTTCCATGGTAAGCGCGGATTGCCTCTGGGCATCCTTGGTTGCAGTCCTTTGCGGACTCCCAGGAGTCGTACTCGGGGCCCAGTTTGTGCCACCTGACGAGGTACTCCGTGGTGATGCGGCGCCTGCTGCGAGACTGCCGGTGGGCGTGGATCTCGTCCACGTACCACAAGGGTTCGCCCTCAGCTGCGGGAATCGCAGGTGGGGGTGGCGCGTTGCTGCCAGCCTTGTAGGCTTTGAGTTTAGAGACGTGGAATACGTCGTGCATGCGCAAGTGCGCCGGGAGCTGTAGTCGAACCGCGGCTTCGCCCACCTTGGCAGTGATGGGGAAGGGGCCGATGTAGCGTGGCATGAACTTGCCAAGGCCTTTCGTGTTGGGTGCCCGGAACGTGAAGTTCTTGGTGCTCAGCAGGACTTGCTGTCCAACCTCAAACTGGGCTTCGCGGCGCGTTTTGTCCGCGTATTTGGCTTGGCGCTGTTNTGCGGCGTCGAGGCACTTGGTGGCCATTGTAACCCGTTGGGTGAGGCTGTCGGCGATTTCATCTGCCGCCGGATATTTGGACTGCTGCAGTGGCAAGTCGTGGTCGTGTGGCAGGGACATGGTGCGTCCGTAGACGATGTAGAACGGTGTTTGTCCGGTGGACTCGTTCTTGCTGTTGTTAATGGCGAATTCTGCTTTTGGCAGCCAGTCTTCCCAGTCCGTGAGGTCAGGACCCACGTAATTACGCAGGACCTCCTGTAGCACGCGGTTCGCGCGCTCGGTTTGACCATCCGTTTGCGGGTGGAATGACGAGGACATGAGCTGTTTTACGCCCAGTTGCTTGGCTGCGTTGCGCATGGCTTGTGCCGTGAACCGTGGGTCACGATCCGTGAGGAGCGCGGTGATTCGACCATGTTTGCAGATGATGTGGTTTACCAGCATCTTTGCGAAGCCGATGGTGGTGAGTTGGTCCGTTGTGGGCACCAGCGAGACCATCTTCGAGAACTTGTCTACGAAAACGCAAATGGCTGTGTTGCCAGAAGGGGTCTGCGGTAGGCTGGTGATAAAGTCGCAGGAGACCACCTGCCATGGGCCCATTGGGGTGGGCAGGGGTTGTAGTTTGCCTGCCGGCTTTTGGTTATCGGGTTTGTTGCGTTGGCACTGCGGACATTCGTGCACGTAGCGCTCGACGGCATTGTACATGCCAGGCCACCAGAAGCGTTCGGCAACTGTGTGCAGTT